GTCCCGTAACCAGACGAGGAAGGTAATGACGCCACCGACCACCGTCGGCCGTCGCTGTTACAAATAAACAATAATTCATTAATTCTAATTGTCGAATACCGAGGACGCAGTCAGGTGAAAAGATGCGTTAAAGTAGTGCATAGAAAATCTTTAATAAAACTGTCTAAGCTTTGTACATAAAGACAGAAGAATAAATACAGTAGAAGTGGTTAGTTAGCATCTGACTCATGCCAACTGTAGGTCTCGAAAGACCTACTTGAGCTCAGTACGCCATTTTCGTTTTGTATGGTATGGTTGTGACATTCTTTCGTGCAAATTTTCAGAAAAATGCCTAATTGTGCTGTTTTGGAGTGTAAAAATGACAGCAATATTGCCGGTATTAGTATTTCATTTCTTCGGTAAGTCTTATTGTAATAAATTTTCAACTTTCCGTTTATCGAATTGATTCAGATGTGAATCTTTCGTCGTAATCCAACTACTGGCCGCAAGATGACAGCACGTTGAATAAAATTTGAATATACAATTATAACGTCGTAAATTGAACTTTCCACGATATAACGAGTAGATAAAGTTTAATTTACATTAACAATCCAGAAATTATTACATCTTTTTAAATTAGAAACTATGACCAATCATTATCAAGATTTCGTAGTGTTGATAATTTGTTATGTAATCGAGGGTTGAGGCACTTCTATTGTTTTTTTCTTCCGTGTATATAACGTTGTAATATAGATGCTGGCTTTCTTTTAAAGGCATATTCAATACATGCGATGAGTTATTGGCGAAATAGAGTGAGAAGCTTTATAAGTCTGTCCCAAGGTGTCGCTTAGGCTGCTAACAGACTGACTGCATGTATGCAGCCGAGACCAGGACCAGAGAACAAAAAGTAACGAGAACGGATACTCTCCGCCCCTCCCTAGCTTTAGATACCGCACCATGCACATTGACGGTCACATTGACTGAACGACAATAAGGCTGTCGGCGAGCTTTTTCGCGCTAAGACGGCTTTGATATTTGAATATTTCTTATTTGAATAGTTTTCATTTATTCATTACGAAACTGGTACTGTAATATATAACATAATTAATTGTACGTTACTATTTATAATGGTCGTGAATTATGCTCTGTACGGTTGTTTGTGGTCATCTAAACGGGATAAAGATACGAGTTTCTTTCGTTTACCGAAAGGTGAAACGAAGTAAGTAAAAAAACAACTTATGTCTGAGTCTCATTCGGTTATTGTTTTCTTTCATTAATATAGTGCACAGTAATATATAATACAAATTGAAAAATATATAATACAGATTATATCAATATAAACACCTAATAACCATGTGTTTAATTACACTAATCCTAACAATTTAGGATTCTATTAATAGAATTTTAGATAACTGATTCGCGTTAGAATTTTCGCTAAGTCGCCGCTCTTACCATGTAATAGATACGAGAATCTTATGGGTAACCCTGCCATTTCACGTACACATTTGCGCGTGCTCAGATAGCGCTTGGCTGTATATAGTAGTAGTAGGTAAATAACATTCGACTGTTGTATGGAGTGTCCGGGGTCTGTGTGCCACGACTGCACGAAGCACGAAGTTGATAACGATATCACGCATTAACTGAATGTGTAATTGAGCACGGGAGTACACTGCATGATCTTTACTTTGGCGCCACCTGTGAGAAACCTATGAAAGTTTTTCTTCACTCCTTTACATTTACCAGCAGTCGACAAGAGATGTCGCTTTATTAATAGCAATATTTATTTTATTTCAGTTGATGATGTATCTTTTCAATAAATCAATAACTTGATCTCTCCAAACTCGACTTTTTAGTTTAGTAACTATATCGAATAGAATGTGTGAATTATGGTTAGTTCTAAGAAGAACACTTTCAAAGCATGAGCTCATAGTTTCAACGACTCAAGCCACCTAGATGCTTTTCGTCAACCAAAGATCTTGCCAATACATTTGTATGTAGTGATACAGGCGTGATTTATACTGTTCTTTACGTGTCAGTATCCCTATGTATATACATATGTTTAGTAGTAGTTAGAAATAAGAAAGCAAAACTTAGTTAATTATGTATGATGTCACTTACATGTCCTTGTTTCTGCATGGATAATAGCATGGGGGAAAAGAAAAAGATATGATTAGATTAAAGACATAAACAAATGAACATTTTATTGACTAAAGGCGTCATCACATTCATTAACGCGGATGGCATTAAAACGGTCAGAAAAACCTTAACACTGAAGCAAAAAAGCAGATAGGTGCGTAGAATGACGAGCCAAATTGTGCTAAATGGTATATTTCATAAAAAAACCGACTTCAAAAGTCATTCATACCCTAGTTTGCCACACTTAGAGGTGGTATATTTTCTTCAAATTTAAATGGGACCATATCTGAGGTACCCTCTTTCCAACAAAAAAGAATAATCAAAATCGGTTCCCAGAGTTATCGCGTAACATACATACAAATAAAAACATACACTCGAATTGAGAACATCTTCTTTTTTTAAAATCGGTTAAGAAATGGATAAAGTAGACAATATTAAGGACCTCCAACACTGTGTCGCACGGGCGAGAGAGCGCAGTCCCGTATATTTCTACATAAGTTTTGTTTATCCTCCCTACTAACCCCTTGGGTATATGGGAAAAGCAGTATAACCTGTGCAAGCACAGGGAATCATCGGGTCCTGACCCCAGATCAGACCGTGGACAGGCCTGGGTCGTGAGACCACAGTATCGCTTTACCTATTTCTGCCGAAATGCATTAATGTGAACACTACTGTGTTTCGGTTTTGAAGGGTAAGGCTGCTAGATTTTTCAACTTATGTCTCAGGGTGACGGGCGTAGTAACAGTGCTTCTCAGACCACAACTGTTATGGACTGACGTGTTACGTCCTGTCACATGGTACCATATAAAAAAAGTTAAGAGACAGCGGAATTACGACCCAAACGAATAGTCACAGAGGCTTTAGTACCAGATAGCGTTGCTAAGCATTGATCCTACTTTTTTTCTGAAGGGCACTGCAGTTGGCAGCTGATGACCTTGACTGCGCCACCCGATGAACGTGCGGGCTCAAGGGTCTTAACCCGTTAAAACTAAACTACGTGCCCAAGTGGGCACGGACCTCGGTTCAGGGCACTACTGAGGTCTTCCGCCAGAAGGACGTGGTGTAGGAAAAAATATTGATCCTACAAAACACATGGGAGTCTTTATACTATTGAAGTGAACACATCGATAGCGAGGTTCATAGTACAACTAATACCATCCAGTGATGTATGATGGAACTATATGTAGTATACTCTTATTATAGCCAACTTTAAAATTTTAAACTTTTCAGAAACATTAAAGTTAATTATATAGATTTTAAGACTTTCGTGGTTATTCACTAAATGATTATCACTAGTAACAGGTTTCTTACCACGGTATAACTTCTTTTTATTTTCCCGATATTTCGGAACGGTTGCACGTTCCATGGTCACGGGTTCCAGTCAACCCGTGACACGGGTTCCAGTCAACCCGTGACCATGGAACGTGCAACCGTTCCGAAATATCGGGAAAATAAAAAGAAGTTATACCGTGGTAAGAAACCTGTTACTAGTGATAATCATTAAAGTTAATTTCTTAGCTCATTATAGAGGACTTATTGACTGGACGATTTTTCTGACCGGCTCAAGCCGTTTACGCCTTAATAAGTATGGTGAGTCCCTTAAACACATACACCAGAAAATGATTGATCGTTACCAACCAAATGAATGAAACCGAGTAAAAATAATATGGGCGCAGTAAAGTACAGTCGAGACCACATCGAGTTTGACACTTCGGATTTTGGACCGCTGTAATCGTATGCGGCATACAGTTGAATTTAAATGTTAAATGTCAAATAATGTGTCAATGTGGTCTTGAACCTGTACATCGTTTTTTTTTTTTTGCGCCGACGACATAACTGCCGTCCACTAACTAAAAAGCGGCTAAGTGACAAATGGTCAAACATCCATTTTAAACGAAAAAGATAGAGCAAATTTTTTTTTAAACAGTTAAAATTAGTTAACGAGTTCGACTTATCGGAACTTAACCTATCGATGCAATATCAATATCAATATTTCAATCTTTTTTTCAATTATCAATTTCAACATTCAAAACTGGGCTATTGTTTTTTTTATGACACATCAAAAAAATATTTTGTCACTTACCCGCGTTTTTAGCGTTAGACGGCAGATAAAGGCAATTGTGAGGTCATTTAATTTTATCACGGATCTGGATAGAACGTAAATTAACGTAACTTCAGTCGCGTTTTTTCCACTACAAAAAAGTGTTCTGTAGGGCTAGCACGATAGGGCGCGACTAGCGCGAGAGTGACACTAAGCACGAGATTCTGTTATTCTCGCGACTTATCGTGCTAGCCCTTAGTGTCATGGTATCCTTTTGAAAACAACGATAAACACTTTACCGGCGGCGGCGTGGTCGGCGTGAAATCGGCGTGGAATATACTTTACAGACGTTAAAAAAGACTCTTCAAACTTAAACTGTCTTGGTGGCAGAACGGTTGCCACGCCGGACTGCCACGCAGAGGTACCGGGTTCGATTCCCGAGACAGGAGAAATATTTGTTTGTCTCGTGAGTTTTGGGTGTAATTTGTGGTTGTCTATGGCACCCACGACACAGTGTTTCCCTAGTGCGGGCTATAAAAAAACACTTTTAACTTAAAAGCTAGCAGCTAATGTGCTATAATAGTTTGATAGTTCAATAGCACCAGTATTCATACGCCATCTAGCGGCAAAAATAGTCAGCGTGTCTCCCCATTTCACTAGACAGGAACGTTTATATATATATATATATCTTTTATGGGGAACTGTATACGTTTTTACAATAAGATTCCGGAGCATATATTAAGTTTATCATTTCCTAAGTTTAAAAACTACATTAAAAATATTTTGATCGAAAAATCATATTACAAAATTGAAGACTACGTGTTAGTAAAGATGTATGGAAAGACGACACGGCTCCAGAATCCACACAAATTTGATTCAAAGTGTATTCCATAGCATGTAAGTTTATTTGAAAAGAGCAATCCCTAGAGTTTCTTGCTCGTTCTTCTCAGGGAGGTCAGCGTAGTGAACGAGCTGTAGCTTAAATGTGACGTTTTCAAGTGTAAATTTATTTTACCTATGGAATAAATAATCTTTGACTTTGACCTTGACTATTAGCAGAGCTCCTTGTAAAAGAGTTCGTCCAGGGAAGTACTGCCACCTTACCTGTTTCTGCCGCCAAGCAGTAATGTCAGCATTACTGCCTGCCAGTTTTGAAAAGTAAGGGCGCTGGTGAAATTACAGACAAATAATAGGGACAGTGGCAGTGTCCCTCTGATCTGCGATTTAAAGCTCTGAGTGGCACTGCATCTGCTACGGACAGGCGTGTCGCTTAACATCAAACACACGCCTTAGTCGTTCCGACCCTTGGTGTCATTAAAAAAAAAATTAATTGTATGAAATTATTGAATTAATATAAGAAGAAGCTTTATGCCACGCCGATTTTACGCCGGTTAAATTCATCGGTGGTAATTATCTCTAGTAGGAAGTATTCACTATTATACGTATACTATTACTTTTAGTAAACGTAAATATAATGTATATTTCAATCTACCCTCTATTAACCTATCGCCGTTTACGTCATTATTTTATTAATTAAATTTATTACTGTAATTATTTTAAGTACAATTAACTACCCATTAGGTTAGTTACTTTGTAACCCTACCATCACGGGACCCATTTTGTTGTTGTCTGAATGATGGTCATGTTTGGTATTTTAGACCGAAATGTACCTAAAGATACCAGGGTTCGAAGTGATAATCATCACTGATAATTATCGTTGATAATTATCATTGATATTGTTGATAATTATCACGATGATTGACAAACGTGTCAAAATGTAATAAAACCAAATATTTATCACCATTTCTTACGGTTTGACAGTTAAGCATAGGACCGATTGAGCTGGTGGGCAAAAGAGGAGGCCTATACCCAGCAGCGGGTGCTAACGCGCTGAGATGGTGATATTTTAAGTCGAGACAAAACTATGAATCAGACTGGAGAATTGTCAGCTAATTAACAAAAAAAAATCCAAACCGTCTCTAATCTATTCCTCAACCAAATCTAAATTACGAAACAACCCTTGAATAAAATTACATAACATTTCGAAGTACAAACTCAAATATTCACCAGGAAAAAGTCCAACAAAAGGGAGTTCTCCAAGGTCACGAGCTCAGCCCATTATTGTTTATGGGCCTACGTAATGCTACTTATGGGAAAAAAGTCATCGTGCCTTTATTGAACCGTCGGATCTACTAAATATTAACGAGTGTTGTCGGAATGAAAGTCGGTAAATAGATTGTACGTAACAGAGTTTCTTTACATAACAAAAATAATGTTCAAAATTATCAAAATATTTATTTTGTTTAATAATTATTATAACGCTGATTCATAATTTTGTCTGTTTAAGTTTTGTGAGAAAACTATATAAACAACACGAAGAAAAATTATTTAGTTTGTGACTTTTTTGAGTTGACATTTGACACGTCACATATCATCACAGTGCCAGTGCTAGCATTTTGTTGTTCTAATTAATTTTATAAAAACCAAGAAAGTTATCAAAATTTATTTGTCCGAATCTCATTACAGAGTACTAAAAAAACCGACCGCAAAAGTCATTCATTCCCTGCTTTGCGGGTAGCAGAGGCAGAATACTTTCTTTAAATACAAAGTGGTCCCACACTCCTGAGGTACCCTCTTTCCGACAAAAAAAGAATCATCAAAATCGGTTCACAAATGGGTTATCGCGTAACATACACACAAAGAAAAAGTCGAGTACAAATAATAATATCGCAATAATTATCAATGATAATTATCACTTAGAACCCTGAACAAAACCTCATAAAGCTAAGAGAAAAACTAAATGAAAAAATGCGACTGAAATTTCTAGATCGGCGGACTAAAGCATGTAAGTCAAAACCCAGCATTTATATATTGCAAATAAACTTTTTTTGACTTATGTGCTTAAGTCCGTCAACCCTAGATATACTTTTATTGTAGGGTAACTTTGACTGCTAAACAATGCGTTATTGCACTTACGTAGATTACCATTTACAATGCCTTTGCCATAATGTGTGGTTTACATGACCATAAACCAATGTTAGCGATGGTTTTCAAAACGTTCTGTTTTTTTTTATTAAGCGAATGAATTTTAGCGCCAATTTCATGCCCCAAAAACAATGACGCATCTGATATCCTGCCCGACACTTGCACGACCCGTTTGATGTCATAATGCAAGAAGCATGGAAGAACATCGGGTGGTATACTTACAAGTCCTTTCCTCGTTTGACGCTGGAAGACAGCAAGGCGTGATGGAGGGGGTGAGCGTGATGGTTGTGCGGCCAGCGCGGCCCCTCCGCGGGGGACAAAGGCCCTGTGCCGGGGGAGCTACAGCGGCCGGAGCCCACCTGAGGACAAAAAATAATAGGCTCTTTATTTCATGTAAATTCAATACAAATCGTATTTAAAAAAAGTGAAATGACAAAAGTCGAGAAGTCACGAGTTTTATTTTTTTATTATTATTACTAAAATCATGTGTATTACTAAGTATCATGTGATATACAGGGTATAATCGTTAAGTGTGCCCAGAAGATTTCTCCGTAAATATAAGGGATATAAAAAAGCCTCTAACTGACACCGAAAGTACGTCTAGTTTTATTTTTAACATCTTGTGGATGTTTTTTTAATCATTAAGTAAAAAAACATCCACAAGTTTTTAAAAATAAAACTAGAAAAATCCAAAAATTTAATTTTAAATAGTCCCATACATTTAATATGACAATCATAGAGGTTTTAGTTTCGAACAACTGCATGGAATACAAAATTTTGTAAGTACTTATTTAAAAATAAACATCACTTTGTTTTTATTCAATTGGAAGATAGTTTTATGTATAATAAATAAATAAAATAAAAATAAAATTCTTTTACTTCAGACGAGTTCCATAATTTGCTAGTAATAATAGGAAAAGTGCTTACAAACTAGTGTTAATTTTTTTATGCAAATCACATTCCTCAAGAAGCATAGCCACATGGGAGAGGTAATCCTATCAGCTACAGTTTGTAGGATGCTGTTGGGGCTGTCCCGCACTCTGCGCAAAGGCTAGACAGGGCCGATTATACTCTTCTGACTTCTGTATAATCTGCGAATAACCGGCCATAGAAGTTTTCTATCTCGGCGAACATCTCCGGCTTCGACGTTATGGTTCGACCATCGTGTGTTTTAAGATTCGTCAGGTGGCTCCTTCAAAGCTGCTAAGTGAATACTTTCGACCCTCGGTTTCGTACTTTTTTTAATTGCCTCCTCAATGAGGCGTGTACTGTAGCTCTGAAGGTCGCGCCGTATCATCTTCGCAATCTTCTTGTCTGACCGCTCTGACGAAGTGGCCCGAGTGTCTTCTCGTCGTTTAGTCATTAGTCCGAGAGTTTGGACTTCGTATCTGTAAGCTGCAATCGACAAAATTTGATGCCCTCTGTCCTCAACGTTTCAACCACGTTTTGCAGGGCCTCGTCGACGTCATCAGTGGGTTCCAATTCAACGAATCTTTGCTCGAGAAGTTTCTGAAACTTATCGGCGCCCGTCACGATCTGGAGTGGATTAGGTCGGAGCGTAGACTTCATCAAACGGCGTCTTTCCAGTTTAAGATCGATATACCGAGAGCCTCGTATCAGGTCCGGTATTAAACCTGCTTATCACGGAGACGTCTCTGAATATGTGCCGTTTATCTGCCAAGATGAAGTCAATCTAATTTTTGGTCATAGCGTCGGGGCTTTGCCATGTCCACTTCCTTTGAGGCTTTTTCTTAAAGAACGAGTTCATCAAGACGAAGTTGATCAGCATCTGCCCGCTGTGATTCCTACTTTCATAACCATGTGGGCCCATTCGAGATTCGTTGATACTCTGGAGTCCCAATTTAGCGTGCAGGTGAAGTTGACATTAGGAGCTTAGGCGGTGATTGCTCCCTTACATCCCAAAGCCTCTTAAAGTACGAATGTCATATTAATGTATGGAAGCGGTAAACTTTAAATTTTTGGATATTTCTAGTTTCATATTTAAAAAGTTATTGATGTCGTTTTACTCAATAGGTAACGTACTTTCGACATCAGATCAAAAAATTTTTAATAGCTCTTATATTTACAGAATAATCGCCTGGGCACAATTAACGATTACATTCTGTATATTATAATAATAATAAGTATGTATGTGTCACTGCCAAAGGTTAGGGCCTGGTGACGTGCAGTACAGGTACCCTCTAACAAGCAAACCAGCTCCTTCAATATGCGTAAAGTTTCCTATTATTTGTATTTTGTGGAGAAATGAACACTATATACTTGTAATCACAATGAATTGAATAAAAAACACTTTTATTTTAAACTTAAGTTACGTATTACGGCTGGACAAAGACCGCCCTAAATTCTTGCCGCTCGTTCCAATTGTATGCCGCTGTTTGACAAACGGATTTGGACAAATCCTTTTCATACAAGCGTCTAGAAAAACAGTTTAAGCTGAGACGCTCAGCTTTTCATCTGCATAATACATGATACGCACAATGTTACATTATATGAATGTAGATAAGAATGCTTTTTAACAATATTATCATTCTTTAATTTGTTATTTTTCTTATGCTTTAGTATTTTTATTCGTTTTAACCGACTTCAAAAAAAGGAGGAGGTTCTCAATTAGACAGTATGTTTGTTTGTATGTTACGCGATAATTAAATTTTTGGCATTTGTGAACCGATTTTGATGATGCTTTGGCCGAAAGGTTACCATGCCGGACTGCCACGCAGAGGTCCCAGGTTCGATTCCCGGGCCGGGAGAAATATTTGTTTGTTCATACAAACATATAATGATTATTAACTGCCTCCGTGGCGGTACGGTTATCATGCTGGACTGCCACGCGGTTCAGAGGTTTCGGCTTCGATTCCCGAGCCGGGAGAAATCTTTGTATAGCCTACAATTATTTATCTCGTGAGTTTGGGTGTAATTTGTGGTTGTCTATGTGTGTGTCCATGGCACTCGCGACACAAGGTTTTCCAAGTGCGGGGCTATGTTAAGTGTGTGCGTTATTATTATTATTTAAATTTCAAGAATGTTTCCTTCCACCTCTAAGCGTGTCTAACTAGGGGTCGAATCCGGTTTCGTGCACTTTCCAGTAACCGATTTCAATAAAACTTGGCAAATAGATGTAATTCCACGACTATTTGAGGTCGGTTTTTTAGTACTCTGTACTAAGATTATTATCTTTTTATTGTTTAACGCTTTTTGTTTTATTACCCTTATTATTTCGGATATCCATCATGGCCTAAATGATAAATTTTGAATTTTTATATGAGATTATTCAGTATCCCACTTAAAAGAACTGTTTCAAACATTGTTCTTTTTTTATTTCGAGATTTTGTAATTCAAAACCAAGCTACTCATAGCGCGGAAGCCCGGAATGAGACAGGCTAGCAAAGATTTAATTTAAGATCAATAAGCCCGAACATCGTACAACCGCATTTATAAACTTCTCCCACGTACTAAAGTACACATTTGTTTATATTTACATCAACGCATCGCCTCGTTTGTACTACACGTTGACTAATCCGGAAGTATTATATAACAGCTTTTGTTAAGCAATGAAAGGATATGTCGATATAAATTAACTTTAAACTATTACCGAGTTCTTAGGTTTTCGCTGTTGCTACACATTTAAAAAAAAACATAAAACTTAGTATACAACCATTGACTTACAATTATTTGGACGTCGGGTCCGCGCTAAGAAGTGTCCGAACTTGTAAGGCGTTAAAATCGTATACAGAGCGTCAAACTCCGCTTTAGTCATCATTTGTTCGACTGACAGCGCGATACTGCGATGACATTACAATTTAAATTCAACGTTTTAGCTTTTTCATATTCCTTTACATGTCACTACGTTTAAATAGGTTGACTTGGGACATTTTTTTCGTGGTTTTTGTATTAGACCCGTCGTCCGTTTATTTGTAAGTCAATGTATACAACGTTAATTTTTGATGTATGAATTCATAATGATACATCATTTTTTTTTTAAGTGTATAAAGTGGTTAACACCAATCTAGCAATAGTCATATTTGAAACTGTCTGTTATAGAATTATAGTTTACCAAATTAAACACAAAGAAAGAACAAGATTTTTGAAAAATATACGCTAACACCACTCTTGCTCTTAGCGTCCCATATCTAATCACTTTCTTTTTTAAATAAATGACAATGAAAAGAAAACCTGTTCATATTGTAAAAAACTCAATAAAGAAACATGAAGAGGTCCTATCCTTTATTAATGACGCGAAGACCTTGTAGCATAGTTTAGTTACGTAACAATGTTTTAGTGTACGAGTAACAAACAATAACAGAAACAGAATCGACGTTTATGGGCAAGAAGCACGAGGTTTTGAACATAAAGTAGTAAGTAAAGTGTAGAAGATGGATGTGACATTTCAATGTAAATCAGAATTAGAAAGACAGAAACATTTTAATAGGTACAAATTCATGAATCATACATTTACAGAGATAAACTAATAAATAGATCGCGTTTGCGATCATTTCGTGCTCAATGGCACCGATTCGGTATAGATGCTAAAATCTGTTAGTCACGTGTACCATTTTATGGGCAAACATTTGGATTACCAGATTATTCTTGAACTAAACAGAGAAGGACACGGAACGACAAGCATCATGTTGTAGACATTGCTAAAAAACAACAACCACTAAATGCAAGAACATGAACATAAAAAATAAAGTTTTGAAATTTTTTTTTTATCATAAGCGTTATACTGCCGTCCTTATTCAAAAGGACGCATGTCAAAAAAATGAAATTTCTTTTTTTTACATTTCTCGATGGAAATTATATCAATGTATCATATCAGACTATCAGAAAATAAAATCTTTATTAGTAATTTTTTTTTTTTTCAAAAACTTATTAAGAAAATTTAAAAAATATATAATATAATATAATAGTAAATCATGTTACAACTTAACATAGACTAAAATAAAATTAGGATATGGGATAGAACAAAAAATAAATCAACAAATGTGTTTTGAAGTGTACATAGGAATAAACCGATTCCCTTTACGCTTGATTTCGAGTGCAATGGGAATACTACCCAGCGAGTGTCGAGTGAGACAGCGACAATAACAATGATTTCACATTTACGTTTTAGCTTATGTTAATTATTTTTTACTTGAACTATCATCGAAATGTTTTACGTACTAAAAAGACAAGTTTATGATTTAGTAACTAGTTATCATTTAATAAGAATTGAGGTTTTTGGAATAGTTAAAAATGTGAAATCGAATTATGTACAATGATTTAATTTTTAGTTATTTACAGTTTATTTACAGGCGCTCGACTTGTTCATCCCATCCTGGTGTCATAAAAAAAAGATACTATGCATTCTGCAAAGAAAATTCTCCAAAGACACAGGAAGATTTTACGCAGCGGGCTATAGCCCAAATCTCTGTGTAACGAATTAGAGTTCGGAACACGTTCTCTGGAAGCTAAAATTGTCATATCCACACATTCGCGGCTCCACGTTGATGACTCACACAGCAATGTCAAAGATCTTAGTGAAGGCGTAACAGGCAAAAAAACTATTGCCTTAGAACTCATTACAAATGGGGCTAATGCACTTTTAAGGAAAGCCAAGCGTAGGTCGGTATAGTTTTATGTTTGTCCATAATAACACCTGCTGGACATTGCAATGTGGATGAGGATAGTATGCGCCTGGAAGATACCATAAGCAGCACTCAGTATTAAGCCAATGTGTTCCATGACCTTCAACTATCAGATTTTACTTTCTTAGAAAAATAAACATATTAACGATCTGTTTATCGTTATGAGCAGTGTAACTCTGTGCGGTAGCAAAAAAAACGCTAGCGTAAAAAGAAACGCCAACCCGATATACGCAGGAGCGTGAGTGTCGTCGGGGAGACCACTCTTGCCCGTTTGATACAGATCTAAAAAGTGTCAGATACAACAAAAACTTAAAAAGTTTATTTCTGATAAATTTATTTATGTTTTGCAAAAAGCCATGGAACAAAAGTTGTTACTTATGACGTTAGTAATATAATCCTGCGAGGCTGTTAGTATTTTGCACCCCTCATGGAAGAATGGCATAAGTGGAGTTACGTCAAAAACGTTTATTGCTGAATTAGATACAGAAAACCATAACCCACATCCTGTCCAATTCTTGTAACTCTATCGACTAATATTGTAGATAACGTTAGAAGAATTGGAGAGGATGTGGTTTATAGTTTTCTGTATCTAATGGAGCAATAAATATTTTTGACGTAACTCCATTTATGCCATGCGCGATGTACTCTATGCGAGACCATTCTATGGTGCTTTATGTCGCTCTCGCGAAAATGGTCTCGCATAAAATAGCATATCGCCCTT